TCCAGCCTCCTCTGTTGTCCAGAGCCCTCTCAATGGCTGTCTCCCTCTGAGCCCCCTCTGTGACCCTCCTGCCAGCTATGGCTGGACACACAGGATGGTTGGATGTCATCCTGTCTCCTTCCAGGTTCAAGTACGTCCTCGTCAATGTGTCCACAGGCTTAGTACAGGATCAGACCCTGTGGTCAGACCCCATCCGCACCAACCAGCGTAAGTAGTGTGGTGGGAGCTCGGCCTCCAGCCAGCTTCCTCTGGGAATCTGCAGACCAGGCCCAGCTCTCGGGGCAGGAACTAAGTAGGGCCATTCTGTGGGGACCATTCAGACCTGGCTTGAGCCCACAGTGTCCTTGGACTGAGTCTCCCTGAGTCAGTGGGTGATCTGCAGAATGGCGTTCTCTAGGGATCCATATGGGATAGTGCCCCAAAATGGCAGGCTCATTGTAGGACCTGTACCTTGTTCTCAAAGGCTGACGCCAGTCAGAGAAGAGCGAGACCCCCAGCTCTGAGCAGCCCCTCTGCTCAGCCTTGTTTACGTCGATCTCACCGCGGATGAGTCAGTTTAAAAATTTAAATTATGCAAAAAGAGGAAGAGGCCAGAAACACACAGGAGAAAGGCGGGAAGTGGGCCCCGGGGCACACCAGGCCACTGGCCAAGAGCCCAAGAAGAGTCGCTCCCTGGGCCCCTGGGACATCCCCGGGTACCAGGCCTGCCCATCCCGGGGAAGGGACGGAGGGCGCTGGCTGTCAGGGTGTAACTGACCATGGTCCTGTGACAGCCACCCCCTGCTCAGCCATCGACACGTGGCCAGGCCGGCGGAGTGGGGGCATGATTGTCATCACGTCCATCCTGGGCTCCCTGCCCTTCTTCCTGCTCGTGGGCTTCGCTGGCGCCATCGCCCTCAGCTTTGTGTGAGTACCTGCCGCTGGGAGGCCTGGACCTGGGGATGACGGCAGGGTCCTCTGCAGCTGCCCAGGGCACTGCCCTCCACGGCGGGTGGGTCTGGTGAAAAGCAGCAGAGCCCTGGGCCTTCAAGGCCAGTCCTTCAGCCCAGGAGCGAGGGGCTGGGCAGTGGGCTCTGGGCCGGTGATCCCACAGATCTTAGCTGTGACCGTGGTGCAGCCTCAGGCAAGACATGCTGTCCTGCGGTCCCCAGTGTCCTCCTGGGGCAAATGGAGGTGATAACTGTTCAGCCCATGGAGTCTGGAGGTCCTGTGGAATCGCCCCACCCTGCTGAACTCAACAGGCCTTAGCTCTTGTTGCCATTGTAACTCACCCGCTTACAGTCCAGACGGGGAAACTGAGGCAGGAGGCAGGGAAAGGGTGTCCCAAGGTCACAGAACCTGGGACGAGGACCCAGAGCTGGGGCTAGAACCCAGGCCTCCTGACTCCGCCGACACCTCTGGATTAGGACGGGAGGTCTTCTTGGGGGTGGGGTCCTGGCACAGCTACCAGGGCTGCCCAGAGGGAGGACAGTCCACTAACACCTGGGAGGACCGATTGGGGCATGAATCAAGGCACCCACAAATGCCCTGGGAGGAGGAGGGCAGGGCAGGTCCTGCCTGGAGCTTCAGGGTGAGCTTCTAGGAGGAGGGATCTGCAGGAGCAATGAGCATCGAGCATGGGGCAGGGAGGAATGCACGCGACAGGCAGCAGGCCCCATGCTCCTTGCTTCTCAGGGTAGAGGGAGCCCGGGGGCTTTGAAGCTGAGGGGTCCTGGGGTGGGATTGGGTAGGAAGCCTCCTTGGAGTAGGTTCACACAGAAGCCAGCCAGGTGGGAAAAAGTGGGCAGACCATGCATGGACTGGGAGAGACACTGGACCCAGGCTGTGTTCCACACTTAAGTTAATACAACCAGCAGTGGGTGACCTCAGCCTCTGAGGGTCACCCACAAGCCATCAAAGCCTGGTGGTGTCCCTGCCTCCTCCCTCTGGGCAGTGCCGGACACTGGCCTTCCAGACCCATCCTCTGAGGTTAGCCCGGCTCTTCCACTAACCCTCCTACTGGCCCTGCCTGTCATGGCCCCAGTCCAGCCGGCTGAACTCCCCACAGGTGCCCCAGGTTCTGCGGTCCTCCCCATCTCAAGCATCTCCTGCAGGACCAGATGAGCTGGCCCTTCCTCCAGGATGGGTCCACTCTCTGTAGTCACTGTCTGTTGAGGTGTGTCTCCCCAGACTGTCCTGGTGATGTGGGGACATGAGACAATGGCCCCCGCCATCAGCCCGCAGTAAGACCTGACACTGCTTATTCACGTAGCTCCCGACACACGCTGAGAACCCCAGGAAGGAGGGGCTCACTAAGGCTGTGGTGGCTTCTGGGAGCAACATCTGGGTGCCAAGGTCCCCGGACTAGAGGAGTTCCACTTTGCTCTGTCCCCTAATCCTGGCTCTCTCCTTGGCCAGGGACCTGGGTGATTCTGATGGGGAAACCACGCACGACTCCCAGATCACGCAGGAGGCTGTGCCCAAGTCCCTGGGGACCTCAGAGCCGTCCTACACGACTGTGAACCGGGGGCCACCCTTGGACAGGGCTGAGGTGTATTCCAGCAAGCTCCAGGACTGAGACCCCTGACTGGCAGCCTCCCCACACTGTCCTGGTCCTGGAGTCCGTGGTGGTCAGTGTTCATGCCCCGACTGGACAGAAGGTGAAGCAGGAAGGGTCAGTCCAGTTGTGGGAACACTCAATAAAATCTTCCCAAACTGGTCAAATTACAGTGTCATATTGTGTGCATGTAACAACAAATCCCACAGTTAAATGCAACTATAATGCACCAAAAAATGTGGAAAGAGATCCTGCCCCTCCCCCACCAAAATCTTCCCAAGATATTGAGGTCAGTACAGAACGAGGGGTGAATAGGTGAGAAAATGCACAAGTCACGACCTGTTGAGGGGCTGGGCTGTTTCTCTCCGGGGCTCTGTGATCAGAACTACAGAGACCAGGGCCGAGTCAGAGTTACGCCTCGCCCCGAGCCTCAGTCTCCTCATCTGTCACATGGGCTGCTGGGAAGATTCATTCCTAGACTGGGCAGGCCAGCTTCAGAAGACTCGGTTTTCTCTCTTGAGCCAGATAGCAAGACGGCCTCCCTTTTGGAGGTGTGCGGAACACAACCCACACCCCTCTTGGCATTCTGATAAGACGGAGGGAGACGTGGCTTCTAAGATCGGTGGGGACTCCCCAGGGGGATGCTAACCTAGGAGCACAGGGCAGAAGCCATGGAGGCAGCAGCTTAAAGCAGAGAGCAGCCAGCAGAAGGGAAAGCAGTGGCCAGTCCAGGCTACAGGAGTGGCCAGTACAGAGGGAGCCGGGTCCCTGGGCAGCAGGAACAGGAGGGCCCCCAGGCTGGACATGCTCGTCGGCCACTCGCATCCCTTGAGACCATGAAGCTGGCCTTGGCAGCCACTGGACTCCTGTGGCCTCCTGAGCCTGAATCCCCTTCTTCAGCAGAGACCTCCCAGGGTCCCCAGCTGCCTGGAGTCTGCTGTTGTTAAAAGTTCCTGCAAGTTTTCCACGTGGCTGTGTTTGCTTTGTTTTGTATTTGAGTTGAAGTTCACATGATATAAACTTAGCCTTTTTTATTTTTATCTTTAAATAGTGCTGGGGATTAAACCCAGAGCCTCATGTGTGCTAGGCAAGTGCTCTACCGCTGAGCTGTACTCCAGCCCAAGCCAACCGCTCGAAGTGCACAGGTCAGAGTTATAAAGGCACAGAGAGAGGAAGACATTAGAGTTTGCTGTTGGATTGAGGAGCAGAAGGCCTCAGGCATCCTTCAGGCCATCGAAGTAGGGCTCTGCAGATGTCCACTGCACACCGGGAGATGCCCAGGAGGAAGCCACAAGAGCAGAAGCCCAGGGAGAGGACTTAGGATCCCTCTGTTTCGTGTTTTGGATGAGTGGCTTTATAAAAACTCCAGGAAGTGAAAGTACTCAATATTGATCCAAGAAATTTTACATGACGGTCAGTGGGTGGGGAGAAGGATTTTCATTGTGCAAGTGTCCTCAGGGAGTGGAGACAGGGTGATAACATGTTCAGCAATGCAGGTCTGTAGTGAAGAGAAGCCAGAGGGTTTTGTGATCACTGACAAAGATTTTGTGATCACAGAAAAAAAAAAAAAAAAGAAGAAAGAAAATGAAGGATAAATTCCTATGAAGGTCAGTGATTTGATTTGTATGGTACCGTGACAAATGGAAACTCATACAACAGGAATTTTTAACTTAAAGTGTGACTTTAAGTCAAAAGTTATTTAAGCATAGCCCTGCTCTGCGTCCCTTATATATTCAAACTTTAAGAAGTCTCCCAGTCTTGAGGGCAGATATGTTCCCTCCTTTGCTAATTCTCTGCTTTGGCAGCAGGTATTCTAGATTCTTCTAGTGGAATCAGAGCTCCCCTCTTGGTCCCAGAAGGGATCATTGGTGTAGGTAGCAGCAGTGGGGACCGAATCCAGTTTGAAAGAAAGACTAATTCGAGAAAACAACATTGCTACACCTCGAATCATGATTTTCTTCTAAATAGGTTAAGACATCTTTTCTGTACGAGGTGATGTCTGGTTGCTATGAGACATTATCCTGTATTCAGTTGGTGTTCTCAGAACTGACTAGAAGACTTTTATAGGAAGAGTCCTGATTTTCTCTGTCTCACTCTCAATTTTTATGAAGCAGGGAATGATGACACTTTTCCCTTTTCTCATAAGAAAACTCTGACCTGTCCCCATGTCTCCCTTCCCTGGCCGCAGCCACCGATTCCGCTCTGTCCGTGGGTTTTCCGGATCTGGATGCTTCAGACGCACGGTCTTGCTGGCCCTCCAGCATCCCTTCTCTGACTAAGCTAGTGTTTTCGAGATTTGTCCCCAGCTCCTGTTCATCAGTGCTTCCTTCCCTTTGCTGGTGGAGTGACATCCTGTCATGCAGCTGGACCACAGTTCACTGTTCCCTTGTCCCTTAGTGGTCTCTGGGCTGCTCCCACCTCCTGGCCCCTCCTGTGCACAGTGCTGCGTGGACACTTATCTGAACCCCGTTTCTGGTCCTCCTGGATATACCCGGGCGTGGACTGCTGGGCCAGTGGCAAGTCTATGTCAAATTTTTGAGGATCCATCAACTGTCTCCACGGCAGCTGTTCTGGTCCCACCAGCCACACAGCTGCAGTTAGCCCACTAGTAAAACAAGGTGGAAACTCGGGCTGGAGCTTACCTTGGCTCTGGGTACCCTGTGGCTTTCTCTCCACTTCCCCAGTGACCAGGGCTCCCTCCCTCAGCAGCAGCCACCCACCATTCCAGTCGTGGGTCAGTGGCCTTCCTCTTCCTGCTGACCTCACTAATCAAGGTCCTGGGAATGTGAACTTCCAGCTACTGAGAAAGCTTCCAAACAGCTCAGGACACACAGGCTAACGGGACCAAATCACCAGAGCACAGATGAGCGCATGTACCTGGGAGCGGGGCGTTGGTGACAAATACACGGCCACTCCTTCCCTTGGCTCAGTGGCCTCTGTCCCCGTGATGAGTCTCCAGTCTCCCCAGAGAGCCCCCCACTTCCAGCCCCCTAGGACCTGCTGGTGCAATGAGCGGGGGTGGGGACAGCATTCCTGCATTTGGACAGGTCTGACCTCCCTGTCAGCCAACAGGCCTCGGGTGTCCTCCTCCTGAAGCAGGGGCCACAGATGGAGCCCATGCGCGGTGTCGTCTCCAGGCCAGAATGCAGCGTTATGTCACTGTTTCTCCCTCGTGGTGGCCCTCCTGGCTCTGACCTGTCACAGTCCAGAGCAGGCTCTAGACTGAGCTCCCAGATGGCGGGTAAGGTCAGGTCCATTTCTAGGGCCCCCCACCCCCCCCAGCGAGGACAGGAGTTGGCTGGTACCAGTCATTCCTGTGGCTGTTTGTTGCACACCAGCTCTGAGCTCAGGGCCCCAGGGAGGCAATGGAGCACCTGCCTCAGGAGCAACACCTCGCCAAGGTGGACATATTCAGAACCAAGACGGGGGCCGCTGGCCGCCCAGGGGAGCGCTGAGGGAGAAGAGGGGGGAGGTGGGAGGGGCCTGGAGGGCTGTGGGAAGGCTGGCTTTTATTCTGGGCACCTGGGAAGCCATGGAGCAGTTTCATGCAGAAAATGACCTGTGCAAAGACCTCTGGCTGCTAGGTGAAGTGGGGCAGGGAGACCCCCAGGCGACAGCAGAGCCCTGTAACAACCCAGGCCAGAGGTGTGCAGAGGCTCAGACGGGGGCAGGGCCAGACAGGAGGCGGTGGGATGTAATTCTGAAGGGGAAACAGAAGAACTTGCTGATGGATTGGCCACGGGGAGGAGGGGGAAGGGCAAGTGGTAATGACTTCTGGGTTTAAGGCCAGGGCCACCGAGTACATGGTGGGGACCTCAGCCAAAATGGAGCAAGCAGGTGGGGTGGGAGCATATCAAGAATTTGTGGAAGGGGTTGGGGTTGGGGCTCAGTGGTAGAGCACACGCCTTGCACGTGTGAGGCACTGGGTTCAATCCTCAGCACCACATAAAAATAAATAAAGGTATTGTTTCCATCTACAACCACAACAACAACCATATATATATATATATATATATATATATATTTAATTTGTGGGAAACTGGGCGTGGTGGTGCATCCCTATAACCCCAGCGAATCTGGAGGCTGAGGCAGGAGGATTGCAAGTTCAAGGCCAGCCTCAGCAATTAAGCAAGAACCTGTCTCAGAATAAAAATAAGAAGGGCTGGGGATGTGGCTCAGGGGTAAGACGCCCCTGGGTACAACAACAACAAAGAAGAGGGAGGGGGAAGTTCAATAAGCTGCTCATGATGTGTCAGGTAGAGCAGCGCAGTAGGTGATGAGGTGCCTGAAGTTATCAGAGGGCAGCCGAGTGTGCCATTGTCCCTGATACTGGCTGCCCCTCCCCTGGAAAGGATTACAGTCAGTTGCCCCTTGGTACCCACCAGGATTGGTTCCAGGACCCCCGTGATACAGAATGCACAGGTTCTTAAGTCCCTTATGTGAAATGGTACAGTATTTGCCTGTGACCTGCACACATTCTCTCAAACACATTATTTCATTAGTAGTATGATTTGCAGTGCTGGGGGGGTGAAGGGGGCCTCCGCATGCTGGGCAGCTACCACCCAGCTGTGTGCCGGATCCTCCCATGTACTTTAAATCATCTGTAGATTACTTATAGTTACGAATAAAATGTAAATGCTGTGTAAATAATTGTTATACTATGTTGTTTAGGGAATAATGACAAGGAAAAAGAGTCTTCCACGTCACATTTGACACAATTTATATGTGCGTGTGTGGTTTGAACCTTGGGCTTCACAGATGCTGGGCAAGTGCTTAACCATTGCGCTACACCCCCAGCCCTTTTTATATTTTATTTTGAGACAGGGTCTCATTAAGTTGTTGAGGCTGGCCTCAAACTTCCAATCCAGCGTGAGAGGAGCTGTGTTTCCCTTGGATAAGGGGCCCTCCTTCCTATGGCATCTCTTTTGCTGGCCTTTGACTGGGCTCTGAGTGGAAGGGCTATGCCTCCAGGGGAGTGGGGCAGGGTGGGGCTGGAGGGTTAAGATCCATCCCCCTGCCCCACCACCTCGGGCCTTGGAAGATGCTCCAAGGGAGGACCCTATGCATCTTGGATCTGGCCTCTACAGCACCTAATCCCAGGGGTCCCATTTATCAAGGTCCTTCCTGGAAACCGGAGCTGCTCGAGGGCAGGGGTGGTGTCTCCCCTAGGTCTAGGTCCTCAGCACCCAGCACAGGAGCAGGTGCTCATGAACTGAACTGCCTCACATTTAAATTGTTCACCCAATGGGCCGAGGAGCCATCTGCAGAGGTTAAATGGGCTGGGACTACAGGGACGACCTGCAGGGGCCTCAGCGTCTCCTTTTGTTCAACTGGAATACTAGTGATGGTGCCTTCCTCATAGAGTCTTTGCAAGCGCTGTGAGTGCTCCGGCAGGTACAGGCACTGTGTGGGAAGCCGCCTTCAGTTTTCCGGGCTCTGGACCCCCCCAGTTCACAGGCTGCTGAAATTCCTAAGCCTAGGTTCTGTCACACAATGAAGAGCTTCTATCCTGGGTTGGGGGAAGGTGGAAGGGGCATGTTAACAGCCAACTTTAAAATCAGGCATAAAAAAGGAGCTGAGGAGAGGAAGTAGTGGGGTGGAAGGTCTGGGAAGGGCTGGGAGGAGGAAGTGGCTTTTGATCCGATTTGGTCTAGTGTAGGGAAGTAAAGCCTTTCAGTGGCAGAGATGGCCAGGAGGGGGCCACCCGAGTCATGCGCTCGCGGCGAGGATCGCCCGATTTACCCACCTGCGTCGCCGGTGCACTTGAAGCCACTGGATCCGAGCCCAAGCGGATCGAGCGCTCGGCCTGGGGGAGAGGAGCTGTCGAGGAGCGAAGAGCACGTGCTCGCGTGCCAGCCCGGTGGTAGCGTCCGGGGGCCGAGGGGTGAACCAGACGGACCAGGTGCTGGCTCTCACGCAGAGGGACATTTAATTTCGGAAAATGAAGCGCTCTCTGAAGAAAAGGAGGCAGGTCTGGGGCGGGGAGGCGAGTGAATGGGCAGGGGGCTTCGTCCGGACGGGTTGGGTCTGCTTGACGTTTGAGAACGGAAACTGAGCCTGAGTGGTGCAGGACCGGCTGCAGAGGGGCGCTTCCGATCGCCCTCACAGCTCTGCAAGTCCCTGCAAAGCGCGCTGGCCCCCATTTTGCAGACGAGGAAACTGAGGACATGGGGCAGCCTGCAGCAGATATTGCCGGGACCTAGATCCCAAGCTCCCCGCTTGCCGTTGGCGCAGGCGCTGAGCTCCCAGGGGCGGGGCGCGCGGAACCCGCCCCACCCACTGGGCGGGGCCTGTTACGGCCGCCGCTGGGCCGTTGATTTCGCCGCGGAACCTTCGCGGCGAGGGCGCGCGCGCGGCGGAAGGCATTGCGGCGGCGCGGCGGGCGTCCTCGGCTCGGCCCGGCTCCCGCCCGGGCGCGCGCGCAGCCCCCTCCGCGGCCCTGCTGCCGCCCCAGGCAGCCCGAGGGCCGCGCGGCCGCCGAGAGACCCGGGTAGCCGTCGACCGCGCAGCAGGCGGCGGCGGGAGCGCGAGCTGCGGCCCGCGGCGGCACGGCAGGTGAGGGGGCGGGCGGGCCGCGCCGGAGCCCTGGGACCCGGCCCCCTGGCCCCGACCGCCTTCCGGCCCGGGAGCCCCCAGGCCTTCCGACGTCCCCGGACTCAGACCTCCCGGGACTCGGCGGCTTCGGGGCCAGGGTCCCCCGAGACCGTCTGTTCCTGACACCCTCGGGATTCCCTCGGGACCCGCCCAGCCCCTCGGATCCTCCGGCCCGTGGGCTCCCCTCTGTCCTTAGCACCCCCGACCCCGAGGGTCCCCGGCTGCGAGTCTGTGTCACCTGCCTCGAGGCGTCTGTGCCCTCCTCTCAGCGTGAGGTCTGTGGGGTGCGGAGCCTCGGGGCGCTCAGAAATGCTCCCGGAGTTGGTGATGGTTAAGGATAAAAAGTAGGAACAAGTAACAGGTCCCCAAGGACCACTTTGTAACCGGACGGAGGGCGCGATCGCAGGCTCTGCATGTGTAATTGTGTGCACTGGGGCTTGGAGGCCAGATCAGGCACAGGGTTTAACTTTTTAATGCTCTGGTGAGACTCATATGGATAGAGGGAGGGAGCTAGGCAAATCAGGGCTCTTTTATGTTGTCTGCTCATTCTGAGAACAGCAGGGTTTCATTTTGTTTTGTGTGGTTTTCTTTTTTGAAGTGGGGGAACTAGCATTGTTTTGAATGACTGATAGGTTCTGTTATGGTACACCGGCTTGGTTGGCTGGTTCCGCGTTGGAAACCAACTAGTCAAGAGGCTAAGCTGTAGTAGAGAAAGAACTTGATTAGGATGAGCTGGCTGATGGGGAGCCTACAGGGCCATCTCCCCTCCCAGGAAGCCGATTTGGGAGCAATTTCTGTAAGAGATGGTTGATCACAGGCTGATGGGCACCATCTTACAGGTGAAGGTTTGTGACCAAATAACACATCTGATCCACGACTGACCCTAATCTAGAGCTGCTTTTCAGTTCTGTAAATCTTAAGAACAAAGATTATTTCCTAGGGCTCTTCTTGTCATAGGCAGTTCTTTGCCCATAGGCGGTTCCTTGCCCGTAGGCGGTTCCCAGCGCAGTCTAGAGGGATAGCTGCCTGAGATCTCTTGCTGATCATACTTAGATATTGGGAGAAAATATACTTCACCTGATTATTATGGCAGACAAAGGTCTTTGCATTGGGAGACAGAGGACACTGCCCCTGCTGTCAGGGCTTTATTGAGAGGCCAGGGGGGTGTGGTGGTAACAGTGCAGTGGCCTTGAATGCAGCTTGGGTGGAGGATTTTTGAGAAGAGGTAAGGGTTAAGGAGGACTTCTTGGGCTGTGGATGTAGCTCAGTTGGTAGAGTGCTTGCCTTGCAGACGTAAGTACACACACACACACACACAGGTCATCTTGGTGATGAGGAGGTGGCAGGGAACAGGTGAGCAGATTCTTGAAGGTTGAGGCCAAGAACTTTGCCACAGTTATTCCAAGCAAAGGCAGCAGACAGCGTGTGGAATGACAGAGGGAGTTCAGCATAGATTTTGGAAACGTCAAGGTGTGGCTGGAGTAGAGCTTTGTCCTGGGAGTGTGGCTGGAGTTGTGTTCTCTGCATGGTCAGTGTGAGGAGGGCCAGCCCACCATGCCCTTGGGCCTTTCTGGAATTACTGCTTCTGCTAGTAGGGTCCTGGTAGATGGTGATCTAGCTGATTGAAGGAAGGTGAGCAGTGGTTGGTGGGGAGGAGTGAGGGAAGCATTTCCAGTGGAGACCAGAAAGGGAGCATGGGAGTTTTGTAGAGCACAGGGATTGAGTCAGGAGTGGTGAGAAAGGGGCCCAGAGTCCAGCCAGGACCCACACATGGCATGCTTCCAAGGCTGAGCACCTTGGGGAAGCAGGAGAACACTGAAGTATTTAAGGAGGAGAGTAAAGCGGCTTGGGTGGTGGTGGGGAGACTTGTTTGGAGGGAGCAAGATTACTGAGAGATGGGGATAACCTGGACCAAGGTGATAGCCTCCTGGGGCATGGCGGAGCTTCTGAAATCCCAGGCCTAAAAGACAGCCTGGGGATTGACCTGGGAATGTTTAGGTCAGGTTTTGTCATTAATTCATCAGGTATGTGTTCACCTTAGAGCTTCATCAGGGTGACAGTGTGTATCACAGTGAGCCTACTAAGTACCCAGAAGTTACACCTGTCATAGAGTGGGCAGGGTGAAGGGGCCTGACTCTCAGAAGTGGCCGAGTTCATGCTGGCCTGGGGGATCCTGAAGGAAGTGGCAAGCCTTTGAAGGACAGAGAAATTCAGATGTGTCAATTGTTACTGGAGACAATGTGGGACTACAGGTGCTGGAGCTGCAAGCAGGTTTGAGTGTCCAGTTAAGTTGTGAGACTTTGAGGCAGTGGCTGACGTGGATCAGAGAGATTTGGGAAGAAAGGGCTACAGGACTCCCTCTGTTGAAGTCTGGGCTGGGTGCGGGAGCCTGGGCTAGCCCTGTTGAAGACGACAGTGTTCTGTATACAGTCCAGTAAGCTGGCCACACAGCAACTGTGATGGGTCAAAGAAGAACTGAAGTGTTTTGATTCACTTCATTTTGATGAATTAAATAGGAAAGCTCCACTATCATACAGCTGTAGTGTCACAGGAACATGCTGCTCTTTTAAGTGTTGTCCCATTTAGTGTTTCCAGCCACCCTAGGAGGTAGATGCTGTTGTTCCTTTTTTACACATAAAAGAAATAGGCTCACAAGGAGTGGTTTCCTAAGTGTTAAGCAGTGCAGCCAGTATTGGTGTTGGTGGGGTGCTTTCTATGATATCCTGCTTCCTTCACCCAAGGAGCCTGGAGCTTAGTTTTCCTGCAGGGAGAATGGAGTATTGTTTTCCTCTTGTAGCCCGCCTTATCTATTCCAGCTAAAGTTAACACAGACAGTAGTGTGACAAGCCAGCAAAGACCAAACATAGAACTTCTGTGAGCTGATTGGTTTTCCTGGGGCTCCACTAATTGCTGACTTCTCTCTTAGCATTTCTGGGGCATGAATGGAGTAAGAGCTGATGAAATTGCAAACTGCACTCTGTTATGTGTGCAGATTTGGTGCTCTGGAGGTGGAAATGAGTGCCTGAGATGGAGTTTTGGGTCACAGTGGACCAGGCATTGCCCAAGGTAATGGAAAGAGTCTGGGACATGAGCCAGGGGCAAGTTTACAGTTTGTTCCTAACTCATTGGGAGACACTAACCAGGTCATTGCCTCTCAGTCTCCTTATCTCTTCAGAAAAATGAGGGTATTTGGTATCTATCAGCTTTAAGATTCCTCCAGCTCTGGATTTCTGTAGTTCAAGGTTAATGGGAGATCTGCTTTCTAGAACATCTCTTCTAGATCCTCTTGGGAGGGGACATGGTGGAGGAGAAGTGTGCTTTGGCCTCAGTTTTGTTGTCACCATTACTAGCTTATTAAGTAACACAGCTTCTTGAGTTATGTGACGTGTCACATCTGATAGAAACATCTATTTTCCCGGATGGCAGGTTCCCAGTAAAATATCAGGTGTGTTTGTTTGCCTTTCCGGGCTGCGCTGATGTCAGAACAGGTACAAGACTACACCGTGGTGTCGGGCCTCCTCAAAGGCTTGCTGTCATGTGGGTCAGGGGAAGTAGAAGCCGTGACTGCTTTGTGGGGTTCGAATGAGACGATGTACAGAAAGTGTTCAGAGCTCTCCCTCAGACCTAGTAAAGGCTCGAAAAGTGGAAGTGATTAATGTTGATATTTAAATGAAACTGACTTTGAACTTTTTAAAAATTTTCTTGGTGGCAACCATGGATGGAACCCAGGGCTTCACATATGCTGGGCAGGTGGTCCACACTGAGCCACACGTCCAGTCCCTATTTTCTGTTACTGGTGATTTTACCTTTACTTGATTGGGGCCCATGTGCCCAAGCAACTCTGGGACATTGGCTTCAGGAAGCCAGTTAACACATTCTGATAATCTAAGTAGGCAGTTCTGTCGTAGTTCATTTGAGATGAAGAGAGTGGTCAGGTAGGAGGGGTTGAAATCGGGGTTTGCCTTTTCTGTAAGTTGCAGAAAGCAGTTCATCCTGAAGATTCCTCTTTACTGGCTGAAGTTAGATTTTACCAGAACCCTGGCTAGCCTGACACATGTTATGGTGACTGTCCTGGAAAGGTGATAACTGGGAAGGCTGCTAGTGCTGGCTCACAGTGATGGATGAGCTTTCACAGCTGGTTAAGTGCCCTTAGATATTGGGCTTCCTCAGTCTCTGCAACAGCCTGGCCTGGAAGTGGCCAAGCAATCCCTATTTGACTGGTTAGGAGGCTGAGCTTGGGAGAGGTCTGCTGGGAATGCTGGTGCTCTCTGGAGGGCAGATCCGTTTCCCTGTCTCATCCCAGTGCTGCTCTGGGTGCACACTTGATTTGGGGCTAAGCCTCTTCTTTGCGGTATGAAAGCTTGACTTTTTTGTCCCTTTGTGCCTTATTTCCAGTTCAGGTGGAGCTAGGCATGCTAATCGCACTCACCTGAAATTCCTGTCAGCTGGACCCAGGTGGTTCATTGGAAACGAGACTGCCACGTGTGATTTCTTCATCCTTGGCCCCCACCTGCAGCGGTCCACTAGGAAGCCAGGTTGCTGTGAGAAAGGAGGCTTAAGAATTGGGCGAAGTCAGGGAAGCGCACCATTGAGAGAGGGCTGGGTGGCCTGCTGAGCACTGCTCAAAGGCTTC